TCCAAAGAACTTCGAACGACTCTCAGACTCTCATGTGGCGACATCTATAGAGGTAGCTACCTCCTGAACCCGGGAAAATCCCTGCAGGTTAACCTGACTAGTTTCCCCCTACACCAAGCACTATCCCTTCTGAGCTCTCAAGGCCACACTACTAGGCTAAAAGACTCGACCGAACCAACCCCATCCCGGCCCGCCGGCTGTCCAGCCGCCCCTCAGCGGCCGTTTGCCACAAGCCTGCAGCTGGCAGAGCCTGGCGCGGAGGCGTCTGCGATTGACCGGCGAAGAAGGGAAAGGGAAACTTGTTAATCCACGATTGATTTCTTTTCAGAACTAGCCAGAGACACAATGGATTTCAAGCTAAATTGCGTTCCCCAATCCACTTCGAACTGTATGAATGCGAATGAATAATCTTATTCGGGAGTTTCATGCCCTCAAAGCGGGAACAAACGCTAAAACTGAATACATACATAGTTCTAAATCTTCTACTAAAATTTGGGGTTGAAGGTGGGTAACCGATGGGTAACCCATGGGTTACCGACCCAATCAGTGCCTTAGGGTGGGCGGGGCTTCTCAATGAAGGTACAGCTGATGGTACGACTGATGGATAACCGAATGAATGTTGTGCACAGGGGCAAACCACTGTAACTTGTGCGTGTTTCTGCTAAGTTTTCCGCACCGTTGCATTCTCAAAGCCATTCTTTCGTAAAACCGTCATAAGAATGCTTGAGACTGGCATAAGAACGTTCTCAGCAGCGCCAGCATTCTCAAGCCGTTCTTAGCATTCTTAGCGTTCTCAGGAACATTCTTTAGCACGCTTCCATTTTGGTAGGGTCCGGCCGTTTATGTGTTGCATATATCCCGTTCCTTTCGAACATGTTGTCGCCGCTGTCCACCCATCGCAGGTCCTGCGATGTATACTCTGCTTGGTCGACAACGAGGACCCTAATAACACACGGACCCGACGTACGAGCGCCACTGGATCCACATTTCGGCCGCCACGGCTCCGCGTCACCACAACGGATGTCGTGCCAGTACACCGTCCTGCCGCCTATACGGCGGTGCTGGCTGCTGCCGATCGCGCGACCATGCAGGCACCGCGGCTTCTGCCATTCGCCGTGCACTCGACAGGTATGCTCCCGGCCCGACTTCCGCCCCCTTTCGGTCCTCGTCGTGACCGTACTAGTATCCGCCCCCATGTCACTCCGTGTTATATGATTGCACCTGCGCTATTCCGTCTGACCGTCTGACTGTCTGTCATCCCTTCCGGATTGCCGCTGCCGTGTGTCTGCACACACGTTTGCAGCCGTTCATATATTGTATATATCCCGTTCCTTTCTACCATGCTCTCACCGCTGTCCACCCATGGCAGGTCATGCGGTATGGGCTCTGCTTGGTCGGCAACGAGGGCCCTAGTAACACACGGACGCGACGTACGAGCACCGCAGCAACACGTCGCCACGACGGATATCGTGCCAGTACACCGTCCTGTCGCCTACGCGGTGGTGCTGGCTGCTGCCGACCGAGCGACCGTGCAGGCACCACGGCTTCTGCCATTCACCATGCACTCGTTTCCAGCCGTTTGTATATTGTATATATCCCGTTCCTTTCTAACATGTTGTCACCGCTGTCCACCCGTGGCAGGTCATGCGGTATGGGCTCCACTTAGTCGACAACGAGGGCCCTATTAACACACGGACGCGACGTACGAACGCCGCAGCAACACGTCACCACGACGGATGTCGTGCCAGTACACCGTCCTGCCGCCTATGCGGCGGTGCTAGCTGCTGCCGATCGCGCGCTTATGCAGGCACCGCGGCTTCTGCCATTCACCATGCACTCGACAGGTATGCTCCCGGCCCGACTTCCGCCCCCTTTCGGTCCTCGTCCTGACCGTACTAGTACCCGCCCCCATGTCACTCCGTGTTATATGATTGCACCCACGCTATTCCGTCTGACCGTCTGACTGCCTGTCATCCCTTCCGGATTGCCGCTGCCGTGTGTCTGCAGTCCCCTTCGCTGACACATCCGGAACCACGGATCTTACCGTTCGTCCGTCCCTTCCAAATGCATCTTGCCTGCAGCGGCTCTAGTGTGTATGGCAGGTGTGTATGTGTTCACATGGGCCTAGCGGATACACTCTGTTTGGTCTACACGGAAGGCCCGATTCGCACGCGCATAGCAAAGGCCTGCCGCTGCCATGATGACAATGATGCTCGCACCAACACGTGGTATTATTATGGTACGCTACCGATGCACGCAAAACTCCCTCCCCCCCGCCCCCCGACGCCACACACACTCACGCGGGCACGCACACCTGCGGCTGTCTACTATGCGGTCCTTCTGCATCGAAGTCGTACCGGGTCAGTAATCCGGTAAGGTCCGGACCCGGACGGTGTGCACCCGAGTCTTTGATCCAGAATGACTGCACAGCAGGTCGGTGTGGTGTACCCCGGTGTGGTGTATATGTGCTGCACTGTATCAGTCCCGTACCACAATAACACCACTGCATACCTAATAAACGCTGACCGTTGAGCCGGTGGTGTTGTTATGCTACGGTACCTGTCCATGCAAACCTCCCCGTCCCCCCCCCCCCAGCCCACCACCACACACGCATACCTGCGGGTGGCTGCTGTCCACTCCTTCTGGATCCAAGTCGTACGGGGTCAGTAACCCGGTAGGACTTGCATCCAGAAGGCGTGCACAGCAGCCATTCGCAGGTGGGTGTGGTGGTGTGTGTGTGTGTGATGGGCTGCATCGGTGCCGTACCAAATTAACACCGCTACCTCAGCGGACAACACAAGTGTTCGTGCGCTACCTTGTGTACTTGTGCGGCGAACGTCGGCGTCTAATCGTTAGTCGTCTAGTCGTTAGTCGTACGCCACACGGTCGTTATCGTCTGCGAACCTGGTAGACCAACAGCGGTGTCGTCACATAGCTATTTAACCGCTGAGCCGGTGGTGTTATTATGGCACGCTAATGCTGCACGCAAAACTCCCCCCCCGACACCACACACACTCACACGGCCACATGCACCTGCTGCTGGCTGCTATGCGGTCCTTCTGAATCCAAGTCATACCTGGTCAGTAACCCAGTAAGA